TAATATGAGTTTAGCAGAAACTTCTATTTTCTTTCCATCTAACATGTCTTAAACCCCATATGCGTTATAAACTACATGTTCCATTCTTGAACTTCAACTACCTTTCCTAATCAATATTAGTTTATTTTTCCTCCCGCGACTAGCTCCTTGACTCAACTAACCTAAATAAACGAAAAAATCAAGTAATTAACATTCCATCTCAAATCCTATATGTATGAAGTGGTCCAAAATCAATCATTTTGTCAAGTCATCTTCTTGTGTTGTGTCCACGTAACCCATTTCTATTGTTTGTCAAGGAAGAGTTGATTTCGATTTTCTTGTGGATTATTAATTGACTTTGATTGAATGAGAAAACAAACTTTTAATTTCCACCTCCTAGCTTGCGTGGCTGTCTTAAAAAAAGATATATGTATATCATTTTAATTTTTTTTAGAAGTTGAAAATTGATAAACACTATCCTTATTTATTTTTATTAATATGTTGAAATATTTTTTATTAGAAAATTTATATTTATAGTAATTCCCCTTAAAAATTTTCATAAGATAATTCATATGCACTGAAAGGCTGCTGCTCTTGTCTAGGCAAATTTGATTCAGAACCCATTCAAGCAAATTGATAAACCAATGCTCAATATTATCAAGGAAATGTCAGCAAGAATATTAATGTCTATGCATTTGTACATATGCCAAGTAATTAACATTCTTCTATTACTCTCTTGTTTATGCATTCGTCTCATTTAAGTGTGATTATTATAAAAAAGTATCTCTTTTTTTTTTTTCCTCTGTTTCCCATGGTTTCTTTGAGAATTGAAGAAATGCTGTGATGAGTATGTTTCCCATTTCCTTTATTTGGGCAAAGTTGACATAATTGGTTTCTAGATGGAATGGTCACTTGACTTGATTCTTTAAAGTTTTTTTGGTTACCTTTATGAAAAAAAAGTTGATTTATTTCCATTATTTTTTGTATATAGATATGGGACGGTACTTGAGGTGCATCATCCTTTAAACAGCAGATTGATCCACAGGTAGAACTACAAAAGCAACTTCATCGTTTTATTCGGGGACCTCGTAGGGCCATTCCTACACAACAATATCTGCCCAACTTAAGCCAACCTCCCGCATAGCAACAGCCTTCCAATTTGATTCAACTTTCCATACAATAGTAGCAATAGCAACAGCAGCAACCCACTATTACCCAGCCATCATTGGACGATGAATAGTACCCTGATGATGATGCAACAATGGAGGAGGACACTAAAGAGCGTAATTTAGAGGCTGAGTTAGATGCTGAGTTTGTTGTACTTGATCTTGAGTTAGATACTCAACTAGAGGAGGAGCTATCACATGTTGTCCTGAGGATAGGACATGGCATGGATAAGGGAGATGATGCTCCAACAGACCTGAGTCAAAGAAAGTTGCTTAGCCTAAGTCACTGAGGCACATTCAGCCATGAGAGGTCCAAGAGGACTACAACTGTAATACGCAAGTACTTATTTGATGAGCCAGTGCTTTTTTGGTCTAGTTGGCCTGAAGAAAAGAAGAAGGTTCTTGGGAGAATTTCCAGGTAAGAAAATTATATAATTAAATGAATATATATTTGGTCTGCAATGATTGCTTATAAGTTATATAGAGTGTTAGTAAATCTTGCTTTTGGTTTAAGGTTTATGTGAAAGTGACATCAATTCATAGAAGCGATTTTGACATTAATTGATAGAAGCATTTGTTATTTTTTATTTTCCTTCCCGAATCAATGGTAGTGAACATGGAATGGTCATTTTTGTTGGATTATGTTCTGCTTCCATTAGGCAAATTTCTCATCTTTTTTTTTGGCCGGCATTGACCTCTTGTCTCTTCCATTGAAATTTTTTAATGAAATCTCAACAAAAATTTACTCTTAATTCGTTCCACAAAACATACACCCACGTTCTCTTGATTTCTACAACAAGAAAAAGTCCCACCCAGCCATTCATTAAGCCATCTCCCAAAAATCCATAGAATCAGGGAAAACATAATTTTCCTTTTGATTTTCCAAGAAACTTCAATTCTATTTAGAAGTGGAAAAAAGCAGAGGTTTTTATCTATTTTTTCTTCTACTTATTTAGATGTTATCTTTTGATGAGATTGTGATATGGAAGTGTTGAATATTTTTTTTTATGATTTTTGACATTAATTCATAGAAGCATTCTGTTATTTTTTTATTTTCCTTCCCGAGACAGATTAGTGAACATGGAATGGTCATTTTTGTTGCTGGATTAAGTTCT